AAACAAGAGACCCAAGAAGAAACCTGCATGGCTGCATAAAGAATTCTTTGATAAACTAAAAGACAAAAAGGACAGGTATAAAAAATGGAGAGAGGGGCTCATAATTAAGGCAGAATATCAGCCTGTAATCCAAATGTGCAAAAATGAAGTCACAAAAGCTAAGGCTCAGAATGAACTAAGAGCTTGCAACAAACATCAAAAATATTTTTTAAAAGGTTTCTTTTAACATGTAAAAAAGAAAAAGAAAAATGTCAAGGAAACACTATTTACTATTGAGTTGGCCTTCTCCAGGATTAATTGGCCTAAATATTCAGGGGAGAGGCCAAGACTGCAGAGTTCTGCTGTGCAGGTGTGATGCCAATGGGATTGGTAATTGACAGCAGCAAAGACATTAGGCCTGTATGATCGAACGTGCTTTAGGATCCTAGTCCATGTCTGAGCCTTAATACTTGGGATGTTAGCTTTAAGTCTCCATACTGAATTGGGGGCACATTTTGGGGTGTCCTGAAAAAAAATGATTGAATGGCTTCATAAGCTTTTCAGATAGACCTGGTTGAACAGGTAGAATTGGCTCAGAGATCCAATAATCTGCTTCAATGCTCTTTAGGTAATTACAGCAAATAAAAAGAGTCAAGTCTCTTTAAAAACCAACATAAACTACATAATTAGAAATAAAGAGGATGTAACAGTGGTGGGATTCAAATAATTTAATAACCGGTTCTCTGCCCTAATAACCAGTTGTGAAGGCGTGGCTCAGTAGTTATGTGACTGGGTGGGCATGGCCAACTCAATGTCACACACACCGATGGGCGCTTCGCCTTAGCTGTTACAATGTATTAAGGGTTAACTGGAGAGGCAGTTTCTGCAAGCAGGGCAATAAAGATTAGGCTAGAAACAACACCAAAATGTTTCCTTCCTGCCTTCCTTTACAGGATTAGACCTGTAAAGTGGAAAAAAACAAAATGAGATTTATTCCAACTACCGGTTCTCCCGAATAGATGAGAACTGGCTGAATCCCACCATTGGGATCTAAGTACCCAAACTATCTGAAGTTTCCTCTGCTGACATTTTAACAAGGAAGTAAATTATTGTGGCTCTCATTTTTAATCCTACAATGAGAATGAATCTTGCGCCCTCTGGTGAACATGACAGGACGTGCACATAGATTAATGAAAGGAAAGGCTGGGATTTTCTTGTCCTAGGGACCCAAAGAAAGCATACTGGATTTGACTAAAGAACAACCCAGACGTTTTTCCACAGATATACATTGGATACTATGGGATGTTCAGGGAGAAAATAAGGGCAGTAACAATCTCCCCTAATTTTCTCCAGAAATTGAAACTAGAAAAGAGACTACCATAGTTTAAATTCTGCTGTATACCATGTTTCCCTGAAAATAAGACCAGGTCTTGTATTAATTTTTGCTTCAAAAGACGCATTAGGGTTTATTTTCCAGTTAGGTCTTATTTTGGGGGAAAGTACAGTACTAAATCAGGGATGGGTTGCTGCCAGTGTTTCTGCTGGTTTGCTTCTCGTGCCCTTCACGCTTGCATGCGCCAGACATACACTGTGCATTCATGTGCAATTGACTGTAAATTGTTCTCTGCATGCACAGAACTTGAATTTTTTTTACTAAAAAACATGCCAGCAACGGCAGCGGCGACTGGGGAACCAGTTTGGGGGCGTGGCCAGCCTGGGTTGCTGCTGGTTCTGTGACCAATGCCAAAGTACCACTACCGGTTCACCCAAACCGGTGTGAACCAGTAGCAACCCACCTCTGTACTAAATCTGTCTGTCTGACGATCTTAACTGGGGCTTATTTTTGGGGTAGGGCTTATATTATGAACATCCTGAAAAATCATGATAGGGCTTATTTTCCAATTGGGCCTTATTTTCAGGGAATGCTGGATTTTTGTCGGCAGAACTATCACAAAATGTGACCATGTGACCTTAGCATGCTGCAAATGGCTGTGAACATGGCCCTGTCACCAAGGGCCCAAAGTGCAGTCATATGACCCTGGGGGAGTCAGCCATCAGAGCTTCAAATCTGGGTTGTAAGTACCCCCGGGAAAGTCTTTTGTAATTTGAACAGTTGCTAAGTGATTGGCTGCAAGTTGAGTACTACCTGTAACTCAGAATAATAGGAACATAAGAACTGGTAAAATCTGTAGGACTAGATGGTTATGATTGAGTTGGGATCCAAATCAGACACTTTCTTCTTAAGCAACAGTAGCCATGCAAATAGAAGAATCATTGGCTACTGTAAAACCTCTGCTTTGATGTACAGATGATGAGTTAAAGCTATTGTGTTAAGGGCTGGGCATCAGAGGTGAGTTCCTACCGGTTCAGACCAGTTCAGCCGAGTAAGTAGTAACTCGGCCGGCCATGCCCCCGAACTGCTTCTAGTGGCGCTGCCATAGGCACTGCCCCAAATTTTTTACTACAGCGCATGCGCACGAAGCACGTCCCTGAGTGAACCGGCAGTAACAGAAGCCAGAACCTACCCCTGCTGGGCATGTAAGTGATAAATAAAGGGCAAGCAAAGGTGTTCTTTAGCAAGTCCCCATGGGAACTTCCACATATTCCTCTATTCCTGATAATAGAGATCTGATACTGGGGATGAGGGGCAGGTGTGGGGCATGAAATAAAGTGATCAGGAATGTCTCTATACAGGCCTGCAACTTGGGAGATATGTGCAGCACTATTATAGTGGCATAAATGAAACAAACAAAATGTTAAAAAGTCACGGTATTTATGTAGTCACTTACCAAGCACATCTAAATTATATTAAAGTAAATGGAATATCTTTACAATCACCAAGGCATGTCCCAACTTTTGAGCACCCCTAATGTTTGAAAATTGAAAGTTGAAAAATTTGACATGCCCTAAAATTTATTATTCCTTTTCAATGGCTATTATACAAAAGAAAGGGTTCAATCCCCTTACCCTAAAATAAGAAAGAGAGGAGAAAGTTTGGAGTGAACATATTTGCAAATGAAAATATAATGACCATATTTGTGAATGAAAAATTCTGGGCTAGAAAAGTGAGCGTCACCCTAAGCATACTGAAATGCTACAAATATGTTGGCGATGTCCATTTTTCTCTCCAAATTCATGAAGATCTAATCCTAACCCTAAGTGAATTTGCCCCCAATGGGATTTTACCCTGTATTTCACCGTGAAATTTAATGCAGGCTTGGAAAGTCATCTGCCTATTACTTGCCATATTCTGTCTTAAATGGACCTACTGGTTCCTTGACTTTTTTCTTGTTGTTATATGTTGAAAGAAACTTTTTAAAATTATCTTTGACCTTTATTGCAAGACTTTGCTTATTCCGAGCCTTTGCTTTTCTGTCTTCATCTTTGCAGATTCGGGCTATCTGCTGATACTCTGCCTTAGTTATGTGTCCCTCTTTTCATTTTTTGTACTTGTCCTTTTTGTCTTTCAGTTTACCAGAGAGATCTTTGTGCAACCGTGCTTCTTGGATTTCTTGTTTTTCCTTTTCAGGGGTATTGTGTTGGACTTAGCTTTTATGATCATATTTTTCAGAGTTTCCCACACTTCTTAAGTTGTTTTCCATTTTAAGATTTTCATCCATGGAATTTTTCTTAGTTTCTCTCTGAGTTTGTTAAAATCAGCTCTTTTAAAGTTTAAGACACTGGCTGGTTATGTTATATTGCTTGCGTTTGCATTATATTGGATTCCAATATGACTCTCACCCAAAGTTCCAGCACTTTCAACTCCTATCACTCCTTCATTATTAGTAAGAATTAGGTCCAATATAGCTTTTTCTCTAGTTCCATCGCCATTATACTAGGAGGGTGTTCACTTTTTGATCCTTTGTTATATAGGTTTTCCTGGTAAAATACATGAAAATCCCACTTTTCCCCCTTTAATGACCCTATAATCCCATAGGAAAATCCCATTGGGCTGCAAATCCACTGAGGACTAGGGTTAGGTCTCCATGAATTCAGAGAGCAAAATGGACATGAATACCTAGTTGGAAGGGACCTTGGAGGTCTTCTAGGTCAATCCTCTGCTCAAGCAGGAGACCCTATACCATTTCAGACAAATTGCTGTCCAATCTCTTTCTAATGATGGAACAACCACAATTTCTAGAGACAAGCTGTTCCACTTATTAATTGTTCTAACTGTCAGGAAATGTCTCTTTATCTCTAGGTTGGTTCCCTCCTTGATTAGTTTTCATCCATTGCTTCATGTCCTGTTTGGAAGAATAACTTGACTCCCTCTTCTTTGTGCCCCCCTTAATTATTGGAACACTGCTATCATGACTCCCTTAGTCCTTCTTTTCATAAGACTAGACATACCCAGTTCCTGCAGCCGTTCTTCATATGTTTTAGCCTCCAGCCCCCTAATCATCTTTGTTTGTTTTTCTCTGCACTCTTTCTAGAGTCTCCACATTAGAAAAATTATGTCTGGTTGCTGTTGTGCAACAGTCATCCAATGTTTGCAGTGAGTTCTGGTAGCTCTAAGAAAGTTTCTCTTCTTTTTTTCTTATTAAGCAGAACTAACTCTCTGAAAGGGGAAGCAGTATTGCTATATAATCAAACCCAGGTGTAGCTCTATACACACTCAGAGTACTAGCTCAACAGTACAGCAGATGTTTCACAATGCCATGCTTTAGCTCCTGACCTCTTCAAATCTTTAAACTGTATTTGCTTAGCTTGGCTGGCAAAGCCAACCACCACTTTGGGGAAATGATAATAACACATAATAGGAGAAGGAGTGGCTAAGAAACTGTCCCCGCTCTCTGC